GTTAATACTGTTCGATTATTGATAGAAAAATTCTGGGAAAAGTCTGATATGTTTAATACAGCTTGCACACTGAGAACTAAATAATTTAACACAAGAAATATTTTTATTTGAAAACAATAATTAATTAAATAAAGAGCTACATAATAGATTAATCAAAGATTAAGTCCAGAATTTTAATAAAAATTATTTTATTTTTATTGAATTAAGGTTTAACAAAAGACAACCGTAAACTTTTTTTTAAATTGAATGTATATCAGATTTAATTCTACAACTAAAATAATTCACATGCCAAGTGACATATTTATTAGATGGTAAGCTAGGGCTGCATAACTTGTGGCAAGGTGTGAAATGCGACTTTCAAATGGTCAATGTAAAAATATCCATCTTGCCAACAAAAGTTTATTGCAACATATATCAACACAACTACATAAAAAAATTATTTGACTGTTTTACAAGCTAATTTCAAAATATTTGGAAAGGAAAACACTAATTATGGAACTAAAATTTCAAAATATAGGTGTCAAAAAATTTGAAATTGATTTGTTGCATGCACAAAGATTTATAAAGAGTTCATTTTCAGCCTCACTAACATCATTCCAAATAAATGGACTTCCTCACAGTCCTTCTTTATCCCTATAATCGGCCACATTTTTCTTAATTTCTACAATGTTAAGTTCCATATGCTGACTAACTTTACAGATGAAATTCAATGCATCAATTAATTCAGTAAGACTTAATTTGTGTCCTTGCAATGCTGGATTTAATCGGCAGTCAAATGGATTTGATGTATACTAAATTTCTGTTCAGCAAGTTTTGTTAAAACCTTTTTCTCTTCAGATTTTTGGAGAGGAGATACAGGAATTTCTTCATTTAAGATTGATTTTAGGTATTTAAATTTAGAATATATGTTATGAATTTGTGAAGAGTTGGACTCAATTGCAGTTATTATGTCTACAATGGGTTTCAAGATGTTAATAATCTTTTGAACATTAACCCAAAATACGTAATCAACAAGCAGTCTTTTTTATGTGAGGTCTGCTGATTTCTGAAGAGCAGACTAGATAGATATTACTGCAAACAAAACAAATGGCTACCCCCATCTTATTTTTCCTGGTAATTTCAATGAATTTTCGAAATTTTCAATTAATTTTCGAATTCAACAATGCAAAATCTAAAATTTCAATCTCAAATAAAATAAATAATTAAATAAAAAAAAAATAATTCTTTTATGGGCAGTAATAAAAACATGAAATTACTTATTTGTTCTGAATATTATAAGATAAGAAACTTCTTTTAGAAATATATTTTAATTAGAATAAATGTAATTATTAAAATTTTTTCTCCCGAAACAAAACTGTTGCTTTTGTTTTTCTGAATGTAAATGATAGAGAAATTTGTCCTTGATCCACATTTAGTTTGTATATTGTGCTGTTTCCCTGAAAAATACTCAGCATTCTAAATTGTCTGAATATTTTTTGAGAATTTTAATCATATCAAGTTTTCATTTCAATTTTTGCACAATTTTGATGGGTATAAAAATACATATGTAAGCTTAAAACTTCCTGTATTTTTAAATATTAGTGTATATTACTTTAATGTTTGGCTGATTGCATTAAATTATTCATATCTTTTTGTATTATTCATTTGATGCAAAAAAGCTCCCCCATATACTGGGTAGTTATAAATTTTTGAAATATTTCTTCTGAATTTATTTTATAAAAAGCTGCAAGTTTATTTGCATAAAATACAGATAATTGCATTATTTACTAAACTACAGTAAAGGTAGATTAAGGTTACATGCTTCAAGAATGACTAAAAACCATGAAAACCCTGGTTTCGAGTATTTAACAAGGTCAGTGGTAGATACCTGGGTAAATACCCATTTACAAATACCTTACTCACTGGGTATTTACTTGATCGACATCTATAGTAATATATAAGAATGCCAACATCATACAAAAATAATTTAAAGAAAAAAAGACAGTGAATACAAGTTTACTACCAAAGCAATGCACTCCAATTGGTCAAGTAGCACAGGTTTCACTGCATTAAATAAAATCTGCTCTGTACAAATTGATATTGCTCTCATTAATCTAAATAATAAATTTATTATTATCAGTTTATAGAAAAACTGAATTAATTGAGACCCTCAAAGGCTATATGTTTCTTTTTGCAGCTTCTTGTAAAAAGGATGGGCACCTCAATAGTGAGCAAGCAATATATTGCAGTTGTAGTAACCCGAAGGTAACGCCATTGAAATCAAAGACTTCGAAGTTTATCATAGTAACCAGAAACAGGATTTCAGCAAAACTGAACGAGAATTATCGGCAAACCAAGGGACTCCTGATTCTATTCTAGAACTACAAAGAATATGAATAGAAAACAAATACTATTGCACTAATTAGTAAAGTTCCAGAAAATTGACACTAAATTAAGCTATAAAAATCTCAATTTGATGAATCCATATAATCTAAGGAAATATACAGAGGAATATTTTAAAATAATATAACTAGAATAAAATGCTATTAAAAAAAAATCACACTTTATTTTTAATTCTTTCACATAAACACATGCTAGACTCTGCAATTACTAAAAACATATACTATATATATTTTTTCCAATGCCCACCTGTGTTAACATTTTTCTTCAATTCAGGCATTAACAGGGCAGATTTGTTGGCCCCCCTTTCAGGGGCACCATATTAGGTGGGCCAACGTTGCTCCCACAGTAAGGACAGATAGTACAGAGAAGGAAAGAACATCCATGCCTTGCCCAGGATTTGAACCCAGAACCGTTCTGATGCAAGGGCAGTTCCCTAACCCGTACACAGGCCGGTTGGCATTACTAAAAATATTATCCGACCAAACACAGTATAAATATAGGCAATTGTTTAAAACCTGATAAAATATTATACTTAAGGGTAACAAGTCTGCATTTGAAACAATCACACATATTATACAATTCACAAAAAAAGAAAGAAAAAAAAAAACTTTGATCCAATGATTGGATGTTAAGTATTAAGTTACAGTCTCTATGGCTGAATGCATTCAGGTAAGATATGTTATCGAATTAGAGTAGGCAGTAATTTAAGATGAGAGATCAGACTCGAAAAAGTATGTTCCTTTTCTTCAATAAAATGTACCTTTTTCACTGATTTGTATTCTAGATTCCTAAGATATATAGGAGGTGGGTAGCAACAACCTGAAAGAAGAACCTAAAGAAAGTTTGGACAGGAGACCAACAGAAATTGAAGACTCAAAAATTACCTTTTTTCTCAGTATTTTTCTGTATCTCAAAAACTAAATACATGAATTTAAACTCTTCACATTCGTTTAGAAACCTTATTTTTTGAAAGATATTCTCAAACAATAAATGATTTTTAACATTTAATCATCATTGAAAAATTTTTAGATTGCTATAACTTAATCATAAAAAATAAATTATTCTATCTTTGAAAATAAAATTTATTCTCATCTAGAAAATTTCATTACTAGGGTGGTTACTATTGAAAAATTCATGATTTGGAGCAAAAATACTTTCAACAATTTCAAGTCATTCAGTAAACTTTTTTTATTCTTGAAGGTAGATATTGTTCCAAAAATTCCTATTTTTAAGTATTCTATTTCATTCAATGTTGACTATATTTCAGAGAAATAAATAATTCTATAATTAATCTATTTTTCTTCGAAACAGAAACTATACTAATGTCGAAAGTTTTTTTTAACTATTGTGGTAGCGTGTGATTGAAAAATTAGTGTTTTGAAGCAACAATATTTTCTACAATTTCAAGTTAATCAAATAATTTTTTTCAATGTTGACTCAATGTTTCATTCAATGTTGACGATACTTCACAAAAATAAACTATTCTATGATTCATTTATTTTTCTTTGAAATTAAAATTTTACAAATGTAGAAAGTTTCATAGCTATTGCAATAGCATCTGATTGAAAAATCGGGTTTTGGAGCAACAATATTTTCAAGTTAAATAAATAACTTTTTGTAAATTAAAGGTAGCTATTATCCTAAATATTTACATTTTTAAGTATTCTATTGCATTCAATGTTGATTATATTTCACAATTATAAATTATTCTATGATTCATCTATTTTTCTTCAACATTAAAATTTTTCTAAAGTAGAAAGTTTTATAGCTATTGTGGTAGCATATGATTGAAAAATTTGTGTGTGCTTTGGGGCAAAAATATTTTCAACTATTAAAAGTTGCTCAATTAAATTTTTTTTATTGTTGAAGGCAGCTCTAAAAATTCACATTTGTAAATTTCCTATAATATTAGTGTTGACTACATTTCACAAAAATAAATGATTCGATGATTTATCAATGTTTTTTTTTTCTTTTTAAAATTATAATTTTCCTCATCTATAAAATATTATAATTATTAATAAAGCATGTGAATGAAAATTTTTTGTTAAGGAGCAACAATATGATTCAATCAAAATTTCCACTATCTGATTGTGATTAAATATTTAAGTCAGATGAGTAATTTTTAAAAATGTTGAGTTTTAAATTTAACTATATATTCTCAGATTATCATGCCTAGTGGAATAGTTTTAATATTACATGATTGTATTTTTCTTCAATTTAGTATAAAAAATGCTCGGTCAACCACTTTTCATTTCTGAAACCATTACTTCTGGAAACATTGAAGCCTTAAGACAACTTTATTTTGATTTAATATTATTATTGAAATAAATGTTTTGATTTTAAATTTCTAAATTTTTTCAATTTCACTAAAATGCCAATTCATGTGGAAAGGGGGAAAAAAGAGAAAAGATTTTTTATTTATTTAGATAAGAAACTAACAATATCTCAATCAAGAACAAAACAAAATAAAAATTGCGCCAAAAAATTTATGGGTGGTGTGCTTACTTACAAATAGAAATAGGTGTGCTTACATAGAAATATACAACAATAAAAGTTTGGAATATTATAAAGAAAGTTTATATAACTTAATTAGAATAAATAATAAATTTGATACTTACCAATGGTACGAAACTAATGAAATGTTCTAAATCAATGAAATATTTACAATGCGAAGTTCAACACTCTTGAAGCCAAATATAGAGAAAAACTGAAAAATAAAAAGCCAGAATGCATAATATGTTACAAAACAAACAAGCTAATACAATAATTTAACAACGTAAATGATTATACATAAATAAGCAGTTTCTAAAACATTTTTTAATTCTTTAATCAATTTCTTATCATAAGTTTTTGATTCTAAGACAAATAGTTCAAACCAGATATACTCATCCAACAGAAAATGATTTTTAATTATTTTATATTCCAATAGAGAAGATTACTAAAGATTTCTTTTCTAGTAAAGAATAAGAATCTTATTATCAGTTTTTGATTCTAAGACAAATAGTTCAAACCAGATATACTCATCCAACAGAAAATGATTTTTAATTATTTTATATTGCAATAGAGAAAGTTACTAAAGATTTATTTTCCAGTAAAGAATAAGAATAGTGCTTTTTTTTTAAATTTGATAATTAGAATTTGAATAAGATAATATCTTAAAATATGTACTGTTCATTAACAAGTTTAAGCAGGTGAAATTAATAGTTTGTTGAAGTTACAGCTTGTTTAATTGAAATAATATCAATTCACAATAAAGTTAACTTCAGTCTTTAGGTTCAGAAGCTCTTTTGGTGCGTGGTCACAATAAAATTTAAAAAAAAAAAAATTTTGTTCACCCTTTTTGGTGATGTGTTTTCGCTTCATCCAACATCTTGGTTATTTCCGCCAAACTCTTCAATCAAAAAGTATTATATGCAAGAAAGTTTGTTCCAATGCCAATACTCATTTATATCTAGGAAAGTATTATGTTTCCGACGTAGAAGAAATCATACCCAAGTTGATATACCTAATAGTTAAGAACTTACTTAAATTTTATATCATAACAGAGCGAATTTTGACTCAAACATATTTATGCGCCTGACATTGCCATCCAGGCAAGTTAGATATTGATTCTAATATACATATTTTTTACGCAATTAATGAGAACACTTCAGCTCACCACTCTTTTTAAAGTTTTTAGGAGAATGTAAAAAAAAAATAAATTACATAACAGTATTTCTCATACACAAATCTTTTATAACATTTAAACTTTGCGAACTAAGGTGTTCTTTTAGATTGAGAAAAAAATCCAAAAATTTTTTTGTCCTCTCTGTCGAATTCTAAATTATAAGGCAAGAGTTAAAATACATTGGCATCCACAAATACAAAACAGATCAGCTGTTCTACACCAGCAATAAAACTAAGGATTACTAAGCTGCTGCATGTGGTTTAATAGCTGCTAAAGGACAAAGAATCAATGAGACTAGGTTGCACAAGGCTCTTATGGAAGTCGACTGCACACAAACTCTATCATTAGAAAGTAGTCTTGGTTCTAAGATACAAGAGAACAATCACAGCAATCTCAGATGTTGCAGAATAATATTAAAGTGTTTTAAATAAACTACATACAAATGGGTTAGATTTAAAAAAAATTTTTTGGCAATTTATGATTATGACATTTTTTTACATTATTATTTATGACCCTCACTTAGTAATTTTTGAAGGTAAGTTTCAACTTATAAAGCTCTCTTAACAGCTTTGAATTTAGATTTTACAAAGGTCTTCTGGTACTCTTAAGACCATATTCAATTAAGATTCTTAATAAGAGCTTATGCAAAGGTGACAATGTACTTGAAGTGCGTGCAAATGCAAGTAAGTATGAATAGAGTGAAAGAAACATATTACAAATTAAAATCAGTTAGGATAGCGTAGACATAGTCACAGTGAAACAAATCTTTTTGTTAAAACAAAACTGACTGATATTGAGAAACCAGTGATGAAATGGACCTTTGAGACAAAACAAGGTTCTAGTGAGGTTTACAGTTTCTTTATTAATCAGGAAAACCAAGCAGGGGTTGATACTTGACGTTCTTGATTTTGTTGAAATTTTCCGAATTTGTAAAACTTCGAAACGATTTCTTTTATTTCTGAAAAAATGTTTTGTTTAGGGAGAGACAAAACTGAAGATCCTCTAGAATTTCGAAAAAATAACATCTATTTACATGTGGCAATAGAATCTATTGCATGTGGTAATATTGTTTGTTGAAATGAGTGAATCATAACTCTGGCCACCATTTTCACAATAACTATTAAAAGATAAATACTCAGTGAATCGTTGAAACAAACGTCAAAGGTCATTCAAAAGTCTTTGATTATTTTTCTCAACTTTGCGAGCAAAAATATAGTTCTGCCAGCAATAAGCCACAAAGGTTTCTGTGGATGTATACTAATAAGCAGTACATAAAAAAAATCAGCATATGTGCGTGATTTTAAAATTACATAAAAGTAGCAAGTAACCGAAAATTTGCACAATTGTCAAGTGGGACTGCCTTCGCTGGAAAAGAAGCTCTAAATATAGCAGGAACAAAATCACCTCACACATTTATCGTTACTAATTCAACTTTCATATAACATGGACCCAAACTTTGATGCTTGCACCTGAATAAATGAATACATAAATAGTTATAGAAAAGCTATACATTGTTTTAAAAATGTGATTTAAGCCCAATATGAATATCTCACGTTAACATCTTTCTCATAGTCTCTATCTAGAGGATATTGAGATGGTAGAGGCAAAATATACTTGTTTCTATCTTTGCAAGTGATATAATGGTTTCCAACGTGGATGAAATCATACCCAAATTTATATACCTAATCATTAAGAAGTTATTTAAATTTTATATAAAAACAGAGTGAATTTTTACTCATACATATTTATGCATCTGACATTGGTATTCAGGCAAGTAAGGTATTGATTCCAATGTTTTTTTTCTTTAAGCAATCAATGCGAATACTACAGTTCAAAAGTTATAAACGGTTTATGTAGGATGCAAAAAAAAGTACTAGTAAAATTTTTTATTCACAAATCATTCATAACTGTTTTACATAATGAATTGGTGAGTTCTTATTGATTGCTTAAAGAATATTCTAAAAACAATACATGATTAGCCTGCATAGCAATATGACAAACATACATATAAGTCAGAATTTGCTTTGCTTTTATATAAAACTTAATATCTTCTTAACTATTAGACCTATGAACTTGGGTGTGATTTCATTCGATTCAGCATAAAAAATTACATAAGAACAATAAATTACTTGACCAGATAGCTATGAGCTTATGTTTTGCCCTCTTCTCCCTTAGTAAATTCTATATAGAACTAAAGCTTACTTCGGCTGAGGGTGTTAACTTCAGATATTCATATTGGGCTAAAGTCACATTTAAAAAAATTTACAGCTTTTCCATGACTATTTCTGCATTCTTCATCAGGTACAGGTCATAAAGTATTAGGGCCATGTTATATAGCAGTTGAATCAGTAACAATAGATCTAAGAATTGATTTTGTTTCTGCTATACTTAAGACTATTTTCCAGCAATTTTCATATTTGCCTAGTCTTGGCGAAGGCAGTTAATGACCATGAAAGTTGCGAAAAATTTCAGTTTTTAGCTACTGTAAGGTCAAGCCTAATGTATACCCCATATATAAATTCTTTTAGGTCCTACTTATTAAAATGTATTCACAGAAATACATAACTTTGTGGTTCACTGTTGGCACTTAGATTTTGACCTTCAAAGCCTATTCAAAATAGGCTGAGAAGTTTGATCCGTAAAATTTACAACATTCAACACGAATTTTGCCCACAAAAACCACTTTTCTATTTGCCGAGCATTAACAACAGATCCCTAAACATTTCAAAGCAACATATAAGTAGATAAAATAACAGTTACAGATAAAATGATTAAAAATTACAATTGAAAACACTTAAAAAAAAACACACATAAGAATAACTATTGAAAATAAAACACATACAAATAAGAATAGGAAAAAGACATTTTAAAAAGTTCATTTTTCCTCATAAAATAGCAAACAGACAAAGAATATTTAACGTGCTTTCATAGGCCTGAAAAAGATTTTTGAATTGGGCAATCTTTCAAAATTTTTATAGCAAAGAGCACAAAATTAAAAAAAATGACATATGTGCAAACTTGATATAGTATATCCATATGTATATATATGTATGTCCCAGATTGCCATTATGGATATGAAATGAATTGGACAGTTTCGAGGATTGTTGAGCAATAGCAAGCAAGGAGTGCAGCGTAATATAATTGTTATAAAGGTGAAAATATATCAAAGTATGGTACAAATGAATATGGTACAAACAAGAGCAAGCAAAGTGAACTTAATTCTGGAAGCAATATCTAAAATGAACAAAACTAAAAGAACGTTAGCAGTTTTATAAGTAGGCAAGCGATACTGAGAAGATCATATTTGACATATAACAGACTAAATTTATTTTTTAATAAGTTAATTATTTCATATTAAATTTTTTTGGAAATTATATTATTACAGTGATAAAATAAAATGTGTATCATATTATCAAAGGTATTTTCATCATTTTTTATTCAATTATGTTTTCATTAATTGATAAAATTTAATTATTATTTCAATAATTTTTACAAATTTTAATTGTTATTTCATTAGTTTCATACTATTTTTTTTTATTTATACATGTTTATACGTAAATAAAGCTTTTTCTTCCAAGTGATAGGCTTCAAAAGAAAATATTTCATTAAAAGCAGATAATGGGTTGCTTTTATAATTCAAAGTATAATACAAATCAATAATATACAAAAGAAGACATAAATTCTGGAAAATACTCAGATACTATATGGAAACCATAATAATTCAAGGAAAAGTCTTAGAGAGTCTTTAGAAAAAAATTTTTTTATGAGGGATTGATTAAATATGATAATTAAAAAAAAAAAGAAAAAAAAATCATCTGCCTATTACAATAAAAAAAATATTATAAATAAATTTAAACACAGAAAAATGAAAAAGAAAAAAAAGAACAATGGTGGGATTTTCAAGAATATGATATTCAGGTAGCGCCATCTGTCGCCGTGAAAAGTAATGGAAAATTGCAAAGTATGTTCTTAGTGCATAAAATGAAAAGTTAATATGACAATATATTGATAATAATAAAATAGAATTATTTAATTAATGTATACAATAAGATTTAAGCAAGAAGAAAATTACATATTTTCGGAAACAATTTTCGACAGTAATGAAAAAGTTTAGTATCTATATTTTTTTCTTATTAAGAATATTCATAAATTTCTGAAGACATTTAAAACATATTCAACAATTTCACACATATCTTACAACGTTTGATACTATTTAATGGAAAGATAACTGGACAAATAGAGTTAAGTAAATACATCTTTAATCAAGAAAACAATCACTTGAAAAAGTAGCGGAGAAAAAGTTATGGAGATTAATATTTGAAAAATGATCCAGATAAAAAAAAATTTAAGAAATTTTTCAATCTTAAAACTTAAAAAATTTTGTCTTACTTCTCTGAAATTGATAATTAATTGATAATGATAGTAAATGCTAACCAAATAATAATTGTATTAAAAAGTTAGAACAAATAATAAAAAAATTAAATTGTCAAAACAAATAAAAAAAATCAATGTAATTAAAACATTAAATTGCTACTTTTTTAAATCAGATTCTAGCATATTAATTAATTAAACACATTGTCAGTACAATTTGAACACTATATTTTAATCAGGATAATTTTTCAAAAAGAGAATAGCTGAAAATAAAAACAAAAGCAAATTATTGCGAAATATTGAGTAAAATTGTAACTGAATTTACTACATAAATTAGTAATAGTTAAAAGAAAATCTTCAGTTTTATAGAAAAACGATTGTAATCTTTCATTAAATGGTGTGTCCATTAAAATTAATTTTATAAGAATAATAACAAGCCATATAAGATACATACTAACACATATATCTACATAGTTTCATACATTAATCTTTACATAATAATGTACGAAGATGATATGTGTATTCGAATGTATTATTTCATATTANTTTATAAGAATAATAACAAGCCATATAAGATACATACTAACACATATATCTACATAGTTTCATACATTATTATTTACATAATAATGTACGAAGATGATATGTGTATTCGAATGTATTATTTCATATTACTATTTAAATTAAGTGTTTATTTTTGTAGCCTAGGATTTGGAATTTACAAATTTAATTAGATGAGTATATCAAATAACCCAGACAAAACATGCAATAATCACCATCTAAATTATTAAATAAAGAGAATTATTATAAAATCCTAATGTATTATTAAATATCTAGTTTTGCAGTCTAAAATTTAGAAATCTACAGTTTTAATAGCATGAAAACAGATACTACCAACTATGCAAAATAACGTTTGAATCCCATAGCCACATTCTAACCCAGATATAACAATTATTACATTCAAAATAATATATAACTTACAGACAATAGTACTACAACAGCGTTTTGATGGTAATTTATACTTTTGTGGATATTATAGTTGCGTTTTCATAATCAACTATAGCGGTTTCGATGTATAATCTTAAACGTATAGCTGATATACACAAACAACCACAACACCGGCCGCCATGTTGAAATACGACGTCACTAAAGCGGAAGTTCCGGTTGTCATCGATCACGTTGTAGGCGGAGCCAAAGTAACACTTTGAGCTTTGATTGACATCCATCCGGGCTTGGACTAAACCGCTCTTCTCGTCCTCTCATTGGTGGAATTCATAGTGTGACGTAAATTTCGTCATACCAGACGCTCATCTTTTATGGCGAGGTGACTTGACTGGCATTAGCGTTCAACCCACCTCGAAACCCGCTCGCTGTCCGTCAAAAGTATTCCCAATCAAAACACTCAATTACCTAGAGTCGGGGAGTTTAGTGGTGCTGTGAACGAACCACCCCAACACACAGTGCATAGAGAACTTTTATGGATGGTTAGTGTGCGTGGGGATTGTTGAGAAGTAAGATGCTCGTCTGACAGTGAAGTCAGCGAGTGATTTTTATTGTGCTGTTGTGTGAGGCATGGACGATCCACAACAAAGAATGATGCATCCTGTTTCACAGCATACTTCCGTAAGCATGGCCGGTCATGTTGTACCCCAACACGGCTACGGCATGCCCCAGCAACCGCATGGCGTGGATCCTAATAGTCAACCACCCCCACAAGACCAGGACGTTCGTAAACATGACATCTCTGAAATACTTCAACAGATAATGAATATCACCGACCAGAGTCTTGACGAAGCGCAAGCACGGTAGGTAGCCGCCAGCGGTCCGACGGCCCGCGGGACCGTCGAAGTGCTAACCCTAACCTTCGGTGTTTCTCGTTGGCCTTGAAAATATTATTTGTGTGGTGACCGTTTATTGTGGATATTATTTTTTTTAAATGGGGCCCTGCAATATCTTCATTTTTTTGTCTTGCAGGAAACATACACTCAACTGTCATCGTATGAAGCCAGCCCTATTCAGCGTGCTGTGTGAAATCAAGGAAAAAACAGGTTAGTGTTGTCAACTTTTGATTAATGCCGCCGTAGCTGGCATGATTTATTGTCATCTTGGCGAATGAATTACTGCGTTAAGAACAGGAGCTGTGTTTATGAATTAAGCGTCTCGTAAATCAAATTATGTAAACAATGTATTCGGCATGATCGGATATTTAGACTGGCTAATTTTTTATAATTTATTTACGTCGTTAATATATGTTTTATACTAATTACTTTTACGGAATATCTTTTTTTTAAATTTATTTATTGAATTGTTTTATACTTTCTCACTTTTATTTTCGATCTTACCTGATTTTTAGAGCATATGATCGTATTTTTTCCCTTTTGTTTACATCTTTCCAAAGACTTCCTTTTGTTTATTTTGATGACTGTTCTTATAGAATATTGTTTTTCGTGCCTAATATTTATTTTTTTATTAATATTCCTTGACTGCACGCCCATTCCCTTGTATATTTAAGAGCTTAGTTTACTGATAATAACGTTGGATTATTTTGTAATGATTGCTAGATGTTTTTGAGGTTGTAGTAATATTCGTATAAATTTTTTTTTATTTGATAGTATGATTGATGAGGCAGGAAGAGGCAATAATGATGGAAATTTTTTTTAAATTAATGTTAGATATCATAAGTTTTGTGAGTTAATGGGATTCTAATTCAGTTGTAAGGGTTTGTAGGAACGTCATAGCAATGCTGAAAATTAGTAAATGTAAACATTAGTGAAATGACTATTAAAAAATAATTTTCTTATATCGCAAATAAAAAATGAAATTGGTTATTTTAATTTTAGAAATAAATTCTCTATTCCTGACAATAATATAGCTAATTAAAAATCACTGTGATTATAAAATTAATTTGATAAATTTTTTTTCTATACCTTAGAAGAAGTACCTTATAAGAATAAAATATTGTTGAATTATTTTGAATCATTGAATTGATATCATTATCAATGTAATAACAATATTATTATTATTTTAACAATAATATAATGTTATATTAGTATATGAATATATTATTATTAAGGTAAAACTAAAATGATGTGATTGTAAAGGAATAAATATAATGAATTTCTAAAGAAATTAAAATGGCTATAGTTCTTCAATATTTTATGTAAATGAGTAAGCTGAATTGTTAACACTTAAATTTATGAAAAAATGTCAAAATATTGTAATTAATTTTGATTAATTAACAAAATTTTATTAATTTTTTAATTGACACCTTATTAACATATCACATACTAAGCATATACTTTACTACCAATAACATATTGGGTTCATTATTGCTAGTTATTATGTTATCAAATGCTGTTTAGTACTGATACTCTGATTCTTAAATAATATAATAAATGGATTTTAATCATCTAAAGTGGTAGTGGTCACTTTTAGTTTCTTCCATTTCACCCAGTTTCTTCCAAACAAAATGTCTATTCTACCTCCAGACAGCTTAAAAATGTTGAGGTTTGCATTGTTTACATTCTCTTCTACCTTTTATTGTCACTCTTTTTGGTGTTAATTTTCTTCTTAAACTTGCCATTAGGAGACAAAATTCAAATACAAGTGTTGCTAATTGAAATTAATCTTCTGCTGCCTTAATTTAGTTGATTATTAACTTTTGTTTAAGCTTATAAAATAGGATCATAATTTGTGTATCGTGAAATCGTGTATGTAAAAAAAAGAGAGAAAGTGTTTTAGTATAATTCTGATGTTTTAATATTAAATATTTCAAAATTTACTGTTAGAGTATTGAATCATCAAACTTGTATGCTTTAAAAATGTAAAATTTATGCACACCGTTTGCTTTCTCCCCAAAGTCCTTAAGAAATATTTTATACTGTTAATTTTTATTTATGATTAATAGAAATTTATAATCGTATTTACTTTGATGCACAACTTGGTACTGTGTTATGAGAATAAATTTTAAGTACCAGTTACATTATAAACTAGGGGATCTATATAACGCCCTTATGTAAACTGCAATTTTTCGTAAACCACTTTACCCCATGGGTGCAAACAAAAAGCTGTAGTTTAGAAATTTCTGTTTCTAAGCACAGAGTGATCTTTAACTTTATTTGTTTAATTATTTGCTATGATGCTACAATTTCATAAGTTTAGCAAATTTAATTTGATCTTATTTTTGTTGTTGTTATTAGTTCTAATGCCCTAGAAGACTTAAGTATTTTTTTTTTTTTTGTTTTTTTGTAAATTAGCAACATTTCCTACATATATTTTTTAGAATGTCTATATAAACGTTAATTTTTTGCATTTTTGAGAAAAGCTTCTCAAAAAGGCAGAGTCAAACATTTATTATTTGTTACTACCTCCAAGAAAGCCAAAAACATAGATGTGCACATTTTAAAAGAATTTTTGCAAATACAAAAATTTTGGTTGCTCTGTCGATCGTAGTTGTCGCATCCACTTGAAAATTTCCTGTATTTTTTATTGAGAAATCTGATCTAAAATTTTTCAGGCATTTATATATACATATAAGCATTAATATATAAGTACCAATTTGCAGTATATATATATATATAAATATAGTGAGAGAAATCTTTTTTAAAATCTCATTCTTTGTTAAAGAATGCTTTAATGTTAAAATATTTAAGACTCGGTTTAGCATTTAAATATACATAATCTAATAAGGAATTTATTAATGGTAAAATCTTTTACTTTTCTGTACATTAAACAGAATTAGGTATTAAGCACCTTTGTTTTGAAAATAACTTTGTATCTTTATTTATTTTCCTACTCAGCTAATTTCAAACTTGATGGCTCTGTCATATGGGTTTAATGTTTTATTTTTCTCAATAATTGTTATATACTCTGACTGAGGATGTTTTCCAAATTATTTAAAGTTTAAGACAAGAAAAATCTAACATTTAATTGCTGAAAGATATACGTTTTAGTGCTTACTAGGGGTTGTACAAGGCTTTAGTCAAGCTAAAACAAGTTTAGTCAAAACTTATAAATAAGTAGGAAGTTATAGTATTGTAAAATTTCAAATAGTGGTCAATATTGGCTTCTTTTTTTAAATATTTATGCTCTGGGGAATCATGAAGAAATTACTAGTCTTTTGCATAGTTTAAGAGTTTTAATTTTATATAAATTTTCTTGTTTAAAAGCATATTTTTTATTGTGTAACAAAAAAACAACAATCATTATAAATTTTCAAAGAGGGATTCTTATTATAGGATGAAGTAATTATATCAAAAAATAATATATTAATTATAATAATCTTAATGCTAAATTGCAATTTCTTTAATATGCCAGAATATTATTATGTTCAGCCTTTACGTGACCAAACCATGTATGAAAGTTTAAGGCATATTTATTCTGAAGGAACTTTTACATAATTTTAAAGAAAATTAAAAATTAAAATTTTATTAAAAGTATTTAAAAAAGTTATACTAGATGTGTCTCTTATAAAGTCGATGCTTTTATAACTAAACTGCTGAATAAATTTATACAATGTATCTTGGTACTCATAATTAGTAATAAGTCTGCTTAATAGTTTTAAAAATAATAGAAATGAAAATTGAAATAGTAATAGTTGGCTATTAATTTGTTTATAATTAATTAATTATTCATTATTAGTTCATTATATTGCTAAGTGACAATATCTTGTTGCAATAAAAAATTTATATTAATTTTTTATTCAATTCTACCAAAAATTTCCTCGAGCCTACCTTAATTTGCTGGTTGAGCTGGTTGTTTTGAAAACGTTATAAATAATAATTTAAAAAAAAATTATAGTGCAGCAGTGTGTGCGTTATTTTGCTCCTAACTTGTCATTTCTATCATTATATCGAGTTAATGCCTCATAAGTCAAATTAGTCATCCATCAGGTCAATGCAGTAGCCTAAAAATGTGTGAGGTAAACTTCATGTGTAGTTGCCCCTAAAATAAGAGGGGTTATCGCTTAAGAGGGCGATTAAAAACATATTTTAAAAAACATTCACATTGATATTAAAATAGATCTAAATCCACATTTTCAATAAATTTTTTAATGAGAATTCAAGCTGAAGTTATCCCAGTGAAAGATTTTCAATCATGATCTTCCTTTTCATTTTAATGCTGTTAAACTTCATTATTAAATTTGTTTTGAAAATCATTATATTCATTATAAAATATTTCGTTTGGGCAAAGTATTTAACTAGTATAATTTCAAATGAAAAGTGATAATAACATATTTAAAGTTTTATTGAATAGATTAAATCTTTAGAGATGCAAGACTCCGGGTTACAATATAAAACAATTTTTAATTATAATATTTTTTTCCAGTCATAATATATATAAAGGTTCCTTCAGAAAGGTCAAGAAACAATTTATTTCATTAATTGCAAAACAATCGTTCTATAATTTACAATGAAACAACAAATAAGCAATTTATGTTTCATTGTAATTACCAATTCCGAATTATTTTTCTTTACTGTTTGTCGCCAATCAGTCAAAATTAAAAACTTTTTATGCTAATACAATTTTATTTGACATACATTGAATAGCCGACCCAATATAGTGATAAAATTGTATTAATATTTTTCGAGATGCAATATTGCCCAAGTCATCATATAAATGCTCTTAGTGATTTGGTTGGATTTTTTCACTTTTGGGGCTTCTACTTTTTGCATAGTACTGAATCCATGCTTCCCAAACTGAAGTTATGTAAGCTCAACATAGCTATACTAAACTGGGGCTTAGACTAAAAAGTGACATGTAATTTTTTCTTAACATAGAAAATTTAATTTAAAAAATAATGCTTTCCCTCTAGAAGTATATAATATCTCTATATAATATTTAAAAAAAATGTATAAAATGCATGGCTTATACGTTTATGTTGGATTTTTTATGTACTATTTTAATTTCTATTTAAATATTATGTTTTGAATCGTATTTCCTGGGTTACCATTCAAATTGGGTTTTAGTAATTAAAGTTATCATATTTGTTATGTTAATATAGTTATTTGTTAATTTCTTAATTTAAGCAAATACTAAAAATATTGAA